ACCCAAAAAGTGCGAGGGCAATGCGCTAAGGATCTTGCCTTGTGTGCTGCCGTGCTGCCATCCTTATCAATCGCGGCATACATGGCAATTGCGTCCTCTCACACACTGTACTCTCTCGCGTTTTCCCTCTCCTCGCAGCGCTGTGTCTCTCCGTCATACCACTTCTCACAGAGGAATTTTAGTGTTTTCTATGGTGCTTTTTGCTTTTTCTCCTCACTAACGTTCCTCATGCACTTCTTGTCTAATTTTTGAACAAAATAATACACAACTCGATCCTCACCCGTGCCTTCTAATAGTGATCACGCATGTCGAAGAATTTATCCACTGGGTAGGATAGAGTAGCCCGCAATATCGCAGATGTGCCGTTGTCACGTCTGAAAATTGCGCGACAATGGCGCTAGTTCTCTACCAAGTGGCGACTAATATTAACGTAAGGACGAGTTACGTCGCGCACACCCCATGACACGCAACGTGGATTACGGCGTAGCGGCTAATTCAAATACGCGCGGGTTAGTTGAGCCGTGGAGCAGGCAAGTTCGTACAACTCGTCTGGCCCCGCCCCTTCCTTATTTCAAGGGGAATCCTTGTTTGGGCTTCATCGATTTTTTTCTTCGCTTCTTTTTTAATCACTCAGCATCCACAACTCCATTATCGACCGCTGTGACCTCACAACTTTGATCTGCCGGTGTTGCTCAAAAGGAGAAATGGTTTACCAGAAGGTAGATAGATGATGCTCCTTATCTGTCAGGCCCTGGGTACTGAGTACCGAAATGAAGTCTGAATGAGGAAAAGACTTGCAACAGAAACTGGCTGTATATAAAACATACTCAAAACAAACAAAACCATCCGCTCAGCACCAGCGTTGAGCGCAGAAGATGTGATAGTGTTTCAGAAGAGCCACGCAATAATAAGCAACAATAATAATCATCCTTTCCACCAATTTTCAGGACTGCGGCAACCTCGGTGGATATGTCGGTACGGGTGGTTCTGTAAACAGCTTGGGCACGAAGCTTCGAAATCCATCAGGGAGCGTGATGTCAAAGTGATCCTCTTCGTATAAAATGTTTGGAAAATATATTCATAATTCTAGAACATCCTTCTGTACATTAATCACTTAGAAAGCTAGTGAAGATGAACACGAACTACTTATTGGAAATCTATCGCTTTATATCCTGTCAGTCTTTTTCATATAGTATTGTAACCTCTAGATATGGAAAACTAAGATTACATTCTTGTTGTGCTCAAAGATCTCATTGTAACATCAACTCCGCTGATCTCAGTAGCGGATATTACGATTTTGGTGATCATAAGCACCTAATAATCATGACACGATACTTCAACTCGATCCTCTGTAAACCTCTCTACCTTTGCGTGTTATGGACCTACTGCTCTTTTGAATGAAGTTTCTGTGAAAATGGAGGTGTTCTGAATGTTTTGCTCACTCAAAACTAGCACCATATGGCCTGATGTCATAGTTTGCGAATCGATCCTAGCGTTGCGCCAGCGAATCGAACGTTGCACCAGCGAATCGAACTTTGCACCAGCGAGTCGAACGATGTACCAGCGAGTCGAACTAGGTACCAGCGACTCAATAGTGGCGGGACCCAACGTTCAAAGGAAGCCCGCCACTTTCAAACAGTGTCACGTGACAGTGGACACTGTTTGAAAGTGGCGGGCTTCCTTTGAACGTTGGGTCCCGCCACTATTGAGTCGCTGGTACCTAGTTCGACTCGCTGGTACATCGTTCGACTCGCTGGTGCAAGTTCGATTCGCTGGCGCAAAGTTCGATTCGCTGGTGCAACGTTCGATTCGCTGGCGCAACGCTCGGATCCAGCGAATTCGCCGAGCTAATTCCTGTCGGACTCATGTGATATACGCTTCACAGCTCCAGAAGTTGCCGATGCATTTGACATGAGCCCCGGAACGTGACAAAATTTACCTTTTTCACGACGCGCTCGTCCGAACGTCGGGACGTTGTCTCGTCAGAAAATCGCTGAACTTGGATGGGAAGTGCAACCCTGTCCACCTTACTCGACACACCTAGCCTCACTCGACTATCATGTGTTTCTTGCCCTCAAAGGAATCCTTCGCGGAAAATTCTTGCATTCTTTCTTAACATGAATGTGTCAGTTGTGATCACTGGAAACAGCACACAAAGTTTCACGCATGAAGATTCGGTTTCCGAAGAGAAACAAACGTACAAAAACTACACTCTATGGACAATCGAAGGTAAAGGCGGAGCCAAAGGCATGGAAAGAAGACGGCCTTGGCCGGCTACGTATCAGGCGACGCAATGAAAGAATCGGGTTAAAGCGCGCGATTTTGGAGAGTAGAGACAAATCGATCGATAGAATAGGATGGAGTAGAAGTGTGAGATGTGAATGCAATAAGTCAAAAGGCCAGAAAGAGTTTCTAGTGAAGGCACTCCAAGAACCAAGTGGAAGCATTCCCGTCGCCAGCATTTGTGACAGATGTCCGGCGGTACTTTGAACGCGTAGCAGCCCTTTCGATTTTTCGAATTTTTTTACCAAAACAAAAGCAATTTTTCTGTTCTTTTCATTCTTATCGTGGATAATGAGTCTCAAGCCAGTGATTTATGGCTGAAATAGAATCATGATTTTTCCGTGAAGGATTCCTTTAAGCATCATTTACGCGATATGAAAATCGATGATCACCCGCAAATAGAAATTGAGATTCTCAACTTTTTCTACTCGCGGATGCCACAGTTCTGTGCTTCAGGGAGCGAAAAACTGCCGAATCGTTGGACGTATGTTGTGGACCATTTTGGGGACAACGTCTTGACTTGCATCCTTTTATAATGAAAATTCCTCACGCTGGGACTCGACGTCCTTCTCGCCGAGCTTAGCAGCTACTGTGCGTATGCAAATTTGAACTCCCAGAGAATTTTTAGCCTCCATTTGGTTTCTACTTCACAACGTGCCGCGTTGAGTCGCATAAGCAGCACTGATGTTTTTTTTTCTGTGGAAGGCATCTCGGTCGTGGTTTAGTAACTTCATAAAATCATTGTTTTTCTCTCTCGCCGATGTAGCAACCGTTTGTTTACGAATGGCTGCCGCATTTGTGGGAGATGAATTCTGCTACTCAATATATCATAGACCATTACGTGTTCAGCCGGGTCTCCCGTTATTTCTCGTTTTAAAGAAAAATTCATGCAGAGAAGCACAATGATGTGGCCAACGACTAGTCGCTTTTATACTCTCAGATTTCTTCCTTGGAGCGAATGCACAAATACTTCTGAAGATTCGAGCGCAGCCAAGTGGTATAAATCTAATTCTGTGCACATTTATGATGCAACAACCGAATATACAGTGGCGCTCAAAAGTATTCGGCCAAATGCATTTTCGGCCGTAACTTTTCTTCTGCTGAATCAATTCAGTTCAAATTTTGATATGTTAAAGAGGCAAACATTCTTCACTAGGCAAGCGTATAAGTGTTGGATGGGAGGGAGAGCTGGAATGAAAAAGTCCTTTTACTAAAAATTCTCTATGCCCAAGTAGGTTTCAAATTATTGTAGAAAGCTTATAAATCAACAAAACAATCGACGGAATGGTAAATAACAACAAGCACATTCAGTACTCTGTTAATGACCTTTAGGAGTTGCTGAAACCTCAGCAGGGCCTAAGTGTGGGACCAGTCAATAAAAGCACTATCTATTGGGACAACCTCCTCAACTTTCCTTCAAAGTTGACGGGTTTTTCGCCATATTCTTAGCTCTTTTCCCTGCCAAGGCCTTCCCTATCCTTTTCTTTAGTGTATCGATGACGCTTAGGATATGCAACTAAACTTATCCCTCCGTTTGAATCGCGCCATGCTGTCAAGGGCGCACTTGCGCAGT